AAATATTAAGACGTACATGCACATTTAAATAAAATAAAACACCACAAAAATAACCAAATCACTACATAATAATAGAGAGTGAACTTACAACTTTTAAGATAAGATGTTAGCCCGCACAAGGGGGCACATGACAATAGGAGGCGCTGCATGAATTATTGATGGCTTTGTGTCTACGCTTGCAAATAATTCCAAGCTCTGCTTTATTCGTTCCAAATCTTTTTGGTTGGATGTTGGATACGACAGGTTACTAAAAATCTATAATTTATGGATTGCATCTTCTGTAGGACGTGATTACTTTCATAATGTTAATGTATGGACTGGAGGTCGTCGGGAATGCCTCCGTTTAGCTGAACTGCAGACATTTGTTAAAGGGTCTCTTATTTGTCATCTAAGAGAAGATCCAAAGGTTTTGTGTTCCAAGCTTTCAAAATTTTCACCAAAACGGATGTGTTCTATATGTAAAAGATCACGCTGATGCATCATCTGTTCCAATAGCATTATGATACAGCAGTTGACCATGGTAAAATCAGAAAAACATTACTTGTCAGACTAGTGCAATTATGTGAAATAATAATAAGAAAAAAGTGAGAACACCATGAACGAAAACAAATGCCAGTACTGTAATAAAACATTTACTAGAAAAGGATCTTGCTACGAACATGAAAGAATTCATACAGGATGGAAACCATACAAATGCCAGTTCTGGTTCTGTAATAAGAAGTTTACGAAAAGATATAATTGCATTGTTCATGAAAGAACTCACACTGGAGAGAAACCGTTCAAATGCCAGTACTGCGATAAGACATTTACTCGTAAAGAGGCGTGCATTCACCATGAAAAAAGTCACACTGAGGAGAAACCATACAAATGCCAGTACTGTAACAAGACATTTAATATAAAAAATGATTGTGTTGATCATGAAATTATTCACAAAAAAGATAAACCGTGCAAGTGCAAGTTTTGTTACAAGATGTTTGTCAGCAGAAATGAATGTGATCAGCATGAAAAAGATCACACTGATGCATCATCTGTTTTGATAGCACATGGTCAGAATGACATAGAAGTTGATCATGGTAATATTTTAGTCTGTCAGAATAGTGGTGGAATATCACCTCTCATGGTTAAAGGTGAAAATGAAGATTATGGCCATGCAGTGGAACGACCATATCCTGTTGCTTTGTTTAAAAATGTATTTGCTTAGTGTTTTAACCAAGTTTTAAAAATGTTTTAAAATGTGTATTATGATATTATATTATTATGATATTATGATATGGCAATTGGAAGGTAAAAGTGTATTGTATATGTTAGTGTATGGTACCGTAAAAGGTAGTTAATTTGAAATAGCACAACTCCTAATCTGTATGGAAAAAATGGACACCACTTTCACTGAACATTGCATTTGACAAGCTTTACAAAATGCTACAAACAAGAGGTCTGAATGGTTCCAAAATTAGTTTTCAGTTTCGTAATCTTATGACTGCTTCTCCCATATGAAAGTGCACCAAGTGACCCCAAACTCACTTAGATGAAAGGAGACCCTAAGTGTAACCCCTCACCATAAAATAAGGCAAAGGTCTGTGTAGTGCCTGAATATTGCCACAAACATTTTTTAGTAAGAAATGAACATTTTTACAAAACTGTGACCCATTTGATTTTGAAATAAAGGTAAAAAGTCAAATTCAAGGTCACAGTTGAAATCTCAACATAGAATTTTAGAAAAGACTTCCATAGAAACTTTTTCCATAACTCCTTTGGTTTGGGAGATATTAACATTAAATTTTCAAAAAGTTTGACAAGGATGCATTGCGAAAAGTGTCACTAGTGCAATTTTAATCAGGTGGCATGACAGACATGTTTTTTGTCATAATATAGTAGAAAAGTTTTGAAACAATGAGGACACAAAATAAAACAGAAAATATATACTGAAACTATCTTGTGACTTTATTTCCTTCCATTATGTACATAAGTGTATCATAGATGCATTCTGGGAATTTTAGAATGTGATGAATAATTTACTGTCAAAGAATTAAGATTTTTAATTAATCATAATGATCATTCACTCAGATGTTACAATATTGATTATTATATAGTTAATGACGGATAAAAGTAATCATATAAATCAAAATGATAAAAAAGAATTTAAACTTAAATGCAAAACATCAATCAAAATTAACAGTAAAATCATAGCAAAATTACTTTACAAGCACTTGGAGCTCAATTTCCTCGATCACTTGTGATTTTGAATTGCACTTCGGTGATGGATCAGTACTTGTGCTATTTACATAGGATTCCTTGAAACTGATTTAATTTTATTGAATGAAACTGAATTGTAAAAAATAATATTATTTAAGGCAGGTCATTTACTTCTCCCAGTCTCTTGGGTGCAGCAGGCCTGGCATCTAGTGTTATTTTTAAGTCTGGCATTCTCCCAGTCTCTAGAGTACTGCAGGCCTGGCATCCAGTATTATTTTTATGAAGTCTGGCATTCTCCCAGTCTCTGGAGTACTGCAGGCCTGGCATCCAGTATTATTTTTATGAAGTCTCTCACATCTTGACTGTTATGGACCACCTCAGCATCACAACTCTCCAGAAGGTCTTCCACAGTTAAAGCTGCAATGTCCAGTGAGTTCACGTAGCTTTCAATTCTATCCTTTATTTGAGTAAGTAGAAGGGCATTTTCCCTTAGAAATGGCAACATGGCCCCAAACACCCTTCTCTGTGACCTTGCCTCTTGAGTGATGATGACACAATTGTCACATTTTTCATGAATTGTGATGACGCATTTTTTACATAACAAAGTTTTCTTATTTTTGCAGAAATAATGGAGTTCTTGGTCCGGATGACTGGGGCACTTCATTCCAACTGTACTCCAAATCGACTGAATTCCCTGTAATTTATCATGAAATTGATTCAATGCAGTTTTTGTTTTAAATTCTTTTTCAGCTTTACTTTGAGGATGTTGCTCAAGTTTTTGTACGTTTTCTGCTGGAAAATGATAACTCTGCGAACAGCCCTCCTTGGCAGCTTGGCAGACATAACAGGGATTCACACCACCTTGTTCCGCCCAGGTTAACACACACTCTAAACAGAAAGAGTGACCGCAGGGAAGGACGCGAGGGTCACTCAGGTCATCTTGACATAGTGGACACCTCCTCTGTGATGCAGCCTCCATATTGTCCTCTACCTTGCTGCTGGCCATAAAGAACTTCAAGTGGGCCAAGCACGGTATATTCTAGGCCTTCACACAAAAAAGTGAAAAGGGTGAAAATATCATAAAGAATTCCATCTTGTATTGTTTCATCAGGGTCTTAATTTGTACAGTATCAGGTTTATTATTTGTAATAGTTAAACTAAATGTTAAATATATACCACTGTCTGTATTTCAAAGAAGAGATTGTCTAATTACACTTAATTTCTGAAACCTTTTCTTCAGTATTTTTGTCATCAGTGTAGTGGTATGCTGGCATTTTCTGTATCAATATCTATTTTTCTGTGTATTAAAAATGAGAAGAAACAAAAGCATGCAGATAAGAACCTGCAAATACATTAGATAACTTACACTAGGTTTAAATCTTCACTGTCCTCCTAGCTCTTATCACTTCCAAATAAACTTTCTTTCACTAAACTTTTGCCAAGAATAGCCTGGGTTGTAGTATTCATCTTTAAGGTGACTTTGCCAAAATACCTTGTGGCTCTTTTACTAAGCTTTTGTTGAATTTAGTTTGACATTTTTGTGGCTTACCTGGTTACTGTAAAATAAATTCCTCACATAGTGATATATTGTGTGTATTGTACTCTGATTGTCATGTATATCACAGTATGGCAAAATGTGTGATATAATTATGTAGTCAAGTTTCAATACCAGACATCAGACCCCCTCACAGAGTGACACATGGAGAGAGAAACCCTTTCCCAAGGAATGAAATTTTTACTTTGATCATTATGATTTAAAACTAAATCAATATAATATGTCAAATGAATGAGAAAAAGCAAGGAGACATTACCAACAGTATGAATGTACCATACCCAAGTGATGAGAAAGGTGAAATTTTGTCGTTTTTAAAATATAATTTTTTGGGAAGTTACCTTATTCTCAAATTCATATTGTTCAGTACAATTGCGTCTTTCTCTCTCTTTTTTTTTTTCTATGACAAAATTCAACACAAATATGAAAAACCTGGATGGCACAAAGGAGGGGTGGGGGGCAAAAATTAGCGCAAAAGAAATCTGGATGAAGATCCATTCTTCTGAAGGAGGGGCACAATTTCCTTTCTTTTGTGTTGTAAATGTTATTTTTAAATTCATTGCAACATGTCCCTTTTAGTTAAAAGCAGGTGATGATGATGAACTAGTAGACCATAAATAGAACTATCATGAGCACCTTTAAACTTCCATTTTCTCTATTCACACTGAAGAATTCAATATTGATAACATCACACAGAATACAATTGTGCATATTCTCTCCTTTACTAAAATATTCCCTTTTACAAAATGACCATTGAAGAGGTAACACAACCAATAGGAATAAGTCCTGAACTACAACATTTCTGACAAGATGGGCACTTCTGAGCACAAGGAATCACGATGATGAAACTTTTGAGCAACAAACAAATACCAACAATGATTTTAACTGTTACAAACAGTAAAAATGAATAAAAAGCAGTTTGAATTCACAAGAATATTTAACGAGTAAAATATTACCCTGGCACCACTACAGTAACACAAGTATGTTTTGATTGCTTTAACCTTTTTTTTTTCATGCAAAATATATATTCCAGATATTCAGTAGTTGAACCAGTTTTTTTTTTTTTTTTTTTTTTT